GGCGCAAATAGTTTAGGATACTTTATAAGGGGGCGATGACGGAGCGAGGGTTACATATGTCTGCAGACGGAATTCGGGAGACTCGCAGGACACTGGCTACAGGAAAAGGGCTTGATAAAGCTGATGATTTACAATTCCTGAGCACTCCTACCACTTCGAAAACGGGGATCACAGCAGGCCTCGAAAGTGGCGACAGGTTCACAGATCGCAGCCCCGCAGGGATGGCGAGGTCTCATTTGAATCTGCCCGTGGCCCTCACTGTGCTGGGCCCCCCAGCAGGCCTCGAAAGTGGCGACAGTTTCACAGATCGCAGCCCCCCAGGGATGGCGAGGTCTAATTTGGGTCCGCGCGTGGCCCTCACTGTGCTGGGCCCCCCAGCAGGCCTCGAAAATGGCGACAGTTTCGCAGATCGCAGCCCCCAAGGGATGGCGAGGTCTAATTTGAATCCGCGCGTGGCCCTCACTGTGCTGGGCCCCCCAGCAGGCCTCGAAAATGGCGACAGTTTCGCAGATCGCAGCCCCCCAGGGATGGCGAGGTCTAATTTGAATCTGCCCGTGGCCCTCACTGTGCTGGGCCCCCCAGCAGGCCTCGAAATTGGCGACAGTTTCGCAGATCGCAGCCCCCCAGGGATGGCGAGGTCTAATTTGAATCCGCGCGTGGCCCTCACTGTGCTGGGCCCCCCAGCAGGCCTCGAAAATGGCGACAGTTTCGCAGATCGCAGCCCCCCAGGGATGGCGAGGTCTAATTTGAATCCGCGCGTGGCCCTCACTGTGCTGGGCCCCCCAGCAGGCCTCGAAAATGGCGACAGCTTCGCAGATCGCAGCCCCCCAGGGATGGCGAGGTCTAATTTGGGTCCGCCCGTGGCCCTCACTGTGCTGGGCCCCCCAGCAGGCCTCGAAAGTGGCGACAGTTGCACAGATCGCAGCCCCCCGCAGGCAAGACAGGAAGAGGCAAGAGGGAGGCGGGAGGCAGGAGGAGTGACGCGACCACCCTGCTCTATTCAAAACGAGTACCCAACCAAGGAGGGTTGGGAATACTAATACTATTACTACTACTACTACTACTACTACTACTACTACTACTACTACTACTACTACTACTACTACTACTCTACTACTACTACTACTGGGCTACTGCACTGCTCACTACTACTACAAATACTACTCTACTACTACTACTACTACTACTACGCCTACTACTACTACTACGACTACTACTACGACTACTACAACGAACGACTACGAACTACTACTACTACTACTACGAACACTACCACCCACTACTACTACTACTACTACTGCTACCACTACTACTACTACTACTACTACTACTACTACTACTACTACTACTACTACGAATACCACTACGAAGACTACTACTACTACTAGTACTACTACTACTACTACTACTACTACTACTACCACTACTACCACTACTACCGCTACTACAACTACTACTACTACTGCTACGACTACTACTACTCGTAGAATATTACGACTACTACTCGTATTACTACTGTTACCACTACAACGCTTACGCCTGATACTACTACTACTACTACTACTACTACTACTACTACTACTACTACTACTACTACTACTACTACTACTACTACTACCTACTACTACTACGACTACTACTACTACTACTACTACTACTACTACTACTACTACTACTACTACCTACTACACCTACTACTACGACGGCCTACAACTGCCGACTGCTCGACTACTGTGTACTACTGGCTTCTTCTACATTCAACTACTGTTATACCACCATTACTCACTACAACAGATACCACTAATGCGCTACTTAAGACTACCCACGTCGTTTTACCAATACTACACTACTACTTTTACTACTACTTGCTACTATTGTTCCTATACTACTACTGTACTACTCCTACTACTACTACCAACGCTACTACTACTACTATACTACTATCTACTTACCACTTACTACTACCACTACTTACTATAAACTAACTATAGCTACTACTACTACGGCTCACTACTACTACTACTACTGCTACTACTGTTACTACTACTACTACTACTACGACGACGACTACTACTACTACTACTACTACTACTACTACTACTACTACTACTACCGCTGCCACTACTGCTACCAGTGCTACTACCAGTACTACTACTAATACTTACCCTGGCGACGTACCCAACCCCTGCGCAAAAGCGGGGCGCAAATAGTTCAGGATACTTTATAAAGGGGGCGATGACGGAGCGAGGGTTACATATGTCTGCAGACGGAATTCGGGAGACTCGCAGGACACTGGCTACAGGAAAAGGGCTTGATAAAGCTGATGATTTACAATTCCTGAGCATTCCTAGCCACTTCGAAAACGGGGATCACAACAGGCCTCGAAAGTGGCGACAGTTTCGCAGATCGCAGCCCCGCAGGGATGGCGAGGTCTCATTTGAATCTGCCCGTGGCCCTCACTGTGCTGGGCCCCCCAGCAGGCCTCGAAAGTGGCGAAAGTTTCACAGATCGCAGCCCCCCAGAGATGGCGAGGTCTAAGTTGGGTCCGCGCGTGGCCCTCACTATGCTGGCCCCCCAGCAGGCCTCGAAAATGGCGACAGTTTCGCAGATCGCAGCCCCCCAGGGATGGCGAGGTCTAATTTGGGTCCGCGCGTGGCCCTCACTGTGCTGGGCCCCCCCAGCAGGCCTCGAAAATGGCGACAGTTTCACAGATCGCAGCCCCCCAGGGATGGCGAGGTCTAATTTGAATCCGCGCGTGGCCCTCACTGTGCTGGCCCCCCCAGCAGGCAGGCCTCAGAAAATGGCCCCCCCCCCGCACCCAGTTTCGCAGGATCGCAGCCCCACAGGATGGCGATGGTCTAGTTTGACTCAAGCGCGTGGCCCGACAGTTTCGCAGATCGCAGCCCCCCAGGGACGGCGAGGTCTAATGAATAATGCCCGTGGCCCTCACTGCGCTGGGCCCCCCAGCAGGCCTCGAAAATGGCGACAGCTTCGCAGATCGCAGCCCCCCCAGGGATGGCGATGTCTAATTTGAATCTGTCCGTGGCCCTCACTGTGCTGGGCCCCCCAGCAGGCCTCGAAAATTGCGACAGTTTCGCAGATCGCAGCCCCCCAGGGATGGCGAGGTCTAATTTGAATCTGCGCGTGGCCCTCACTGCGCTGGGCCCCCCAGCAGGCCTCGAAAATGGCGACAGTTTCGCAGATCGCAGCCCCCCAGAGACGGCGA